GTCTAGCAAATGCTGGGACATTCTTAAATTTGCCCGATAAGTCACAATCCTTCTAGAAACTCCAGCATGCGTGCTCCCAGCATCACGTGACATCCACTGTCGTAACACTATGATTTGTCAAACGTGAAATACAGTGATTGGAATAATATGGTACTGAAATTGACCCCTTCGACTAGGATTTGCTAAAAGTTTTAAAACTGAGGTTTAATATGCCCAGATGCTGTTTTATAAAGAAAACAGACTAGAAAAATGTTTAGATATCAATAATAGATGACAGGACCAGTGCTAAAGTGCAGGGAAAAAACTGTAAACATTTTCTTCTTAGAGGGCACTTATTTATAGTCTCAAACATATTTTGCAATCTTTTAAATTAAATTTCTCTTTAAACTTCATTAAATAATACAATTTTGTACAAATAATTGAGTGTTATGCTATTATTTACAAAAATAAAATCTGATATCCAACAAAAGATAAGTTCTCTATAATAATTTCAATTCACAAATGTGATTTTGCCCTCATGATAAGACAAAATGGCCCCGGTAGATAAGGGGTTAAAGTGTATATTTAGTTGCTACTGGCATGTGGATGTCATAGGTCAGAGTTGTTTTCACTACCTCTGCATAAAACTCTTTGTCACCTCACTTCTATCCTGCTATACCATAATAGGTCCTTTTTTCCTAAGACAAGCAGGCAGAGAAGGGGATAAATCCTTCTCACCAATTCTTTTGCCAGCTATTTCTCACCTCTACGACCAATCAGACATAGATCATTTGTTATGTCCTGTCAGAGCCATGAGGCATTATATGGCTCACACTAACTCCTTTTAAGGTGATGGAACTCGACTTTTTATTCATTGGGATCCTCAGTTTTTGAGATTTATACAAATTACTTTGATGAGGTGGCTTTGCAAGTTGACCCATATTGCTTATTCTGGACTTTTTTACAGGTGATGAAACTTCTAAGAGTCGCATCTCATCAGATTCATCACATTTCTATGTCTTTAGTTGCCCATTTGAATTGCCCACTGGAGGACATATGGGCTCGTATCTGGGTTTCTTTCAATACTTTTCTCTCACATTCTTTACACAATCTGGCAGTTTTTTTCTTCTGAGCATTTTCGACTACCCCCCTATGACTGTTTTGACAACATCTGCTAGATTCTAAGGAAAAGTGAGTATTTCTTGTCCTTCTCTTGTTTTTTTTACCTTTTAGGGTCCCTTACCTCTTTTTTTTCACTAGATACCACTCTGTGACAAGTGTTGCCCAGAGAGTTGTGCTTTTAACAATCCAAATCTGCACTGGCAACCAATTTAACTATGACCATCTAGGAGCTCACCAGATGGTATTACCATATTATGCATGACTACCACTCATGGATTATAATGAGTAAAGCTAAAGGGAATCCTGTCCATCCTTGCCGATCATTGGATTGAATAAATTGGCATTGGTTTGCTTTTAAAAATTTAGGGAACTTGGTTCACCTATTGCACTGTTCCCAGAGCCCTGTTCCTCAGGGCTCCCCAAGCGCATTACCCCCCAGATTGTATTAGTGGAGCTAGGGAGTCCTTACCACACCCAAATTCCAGTCACTGGGGTGGTGGACAGAGGCTTTTCCTCTAGAGTGTTTGAGTGTTTTTCTCCACTCTTAAAGAATAGGACAAAGTTGGGGACCCTCCTACTTTTTTCCCCAGATGTCAGTAGGAGTGGCACCCGCCTATGTAGGGGTCTAGTCATAATACTAGTTCAGATTTGATGCTAAGCTATCTTGTTAGGTTGTGCATGGCCCTTCTTTTTGATCAATGTGGGTTTAGTATATTGTTTATGGAAGGGGTCCACTCTCTCCTCATAGTTCCAAACAATCCAATCATTCTGAGCCTGGGGTATTGCCTTTTGGAATTCTTCAGGTGGAAGAGAAAGTTTGTCTGCTTTGGTGCTGCTAATTTGTATTCATGGTACTGGTGATTCAGAATGCAATTGAGTGGGGTATAAAAGACTAGAGCAGGCGAGAAAAAAACAGACCAATGCATAGATGGGCAAAGATTGAAACCCTGACAGTCGAGTAATAGCTATAAGTGTCGGCAGAGGTAAGTATTATTGAAAATACATTTTCGATTTAGGAAAATCTTAACTTAAATGAACTGGCCCTACATGTTGCAAGTTATTCTTGCTGTGCTTGTTGAACTAGACTAACATAATGCAGACTGTTGTATTAGTAGATACTAACTCTTTTCATACAAGATCAGGGTAATTCTAAACTAACCATCCATGCAATAACTTTTCATATGGTATGTGTATCTTCAAGAAATTTGACATTCTTTCAGTAAACATTACAACTCTTTTGTACACAGAAAGTTAAAAAAAAAAATAATTTAAATATTTTTACAAAACATTTGTCCTCAAATATATATATAGTCAAAGTGTTGACTACTCCAAGTGCAAAGTGATTTTCATGTTAAGATTA